TAACGGAATACGTTACAGAATACATTTTGGGGCATGTATTCTGTATTCTGTAATGGAATACATTTTAAAAGTAACCTTCCCAACACTGGTGGTAGTAGAATTTCATATCACTGTTTTCAGAAACGCGTGATTCATCTGTGACATGGGTGCATTTAATTAATTAAAGGAAACATCTGGCTTTATTCTTTTTTCTTTTCTTCTAGCTGGCAACTGCTGTGTTGACTGATGCCAACTCAGCCTAAGCTTGTCTCATAACACTTAACAGTCCTACAGCCACTTAGCTCCGAAGTCCTACCGAGGATGCTAAACGTAAAAAAGCACACAAAACTTGAACAGCTGGACAGTGCAGCTTTTAGAAGTGAAATATTTCAGCTGTTTCGGACTATTTTTTGCTGGAGATCAGTAAAGTTTTAGTAAATACTTAAAGCAGCAGGTGGCTTATGTGTTAACAATATAAAATAAAGTTTCTCTCCCACTTCATCTAAATGTTTATTAATTAAATGTTAAATAGTTGCATGGGGAAAAAGAGAGAAAAAAGATCGGTTTGCACACTGCTTGTATACCCACACCACTCCAATCTGGATTCCAGGCAGCTTTCAGTGTCTCACCAGCTTGGGTACAAAGCCTTAAAATGTTAGCCTGTCTCACTGATTTTCAAGAGTGAAGGTTCAGGACCCTTTGTGGTTACAAAGTCTTGGTACAAACAAGTCTTGGTTCAGCAGTTCTATTCACAATCTGACTGAGTTGGCTTCCTGAATAAGCTCCTAAGTAATAAAACCAGGCTGTTGTTCAAGCTGTACCTTCAGCAGCATTATGACCCCATCTTGTGTGTCCTCGTCTGTCGTTATGTTGAACACGCCGGGCCCATCGCCGTCCATGATCCTGTAGTCCATCTCTGCGTTGGAGCCTATATCAGCATCCGCTGCTTTTATTCTGGCCACAACAGATTGCACCAGCAGGGACTCGAGCACCGTGTACTGATAGTTCTCTGGAAAGAGAAGGACAGAAGTGGATGCCGGTAATGGATGTGCTCATTTCACCGCCAACTCGCTTTCGAGCAGCTACGGCTCGTGCTGTAGCCCTTCAGCTTTGATTTGACTGTGTGTCTCCTCGATGAATTCATGTTACATAAAACAGACAGGCAGCAGCAGTCGCACACATGAAATAAAGCGTTTTGTTTCAACTTCACGGTGGCGCTCTGAATAGACTGCGGGGAAAAGCAATGGAAAATTAAAATATGCAATTAAAAACGTCAAAGGCTAATTTTATATTTCCTCGTCCTTTAAATTCGGGTTCTGTAACAATATCATCTGCAAAACACAAAACTTTGAAAAGGCTGTCTGAATGTAACAGGTTATCCTTCCAAATGCGAAAAAGAGAACGTAATAAAAAGAAAGAAAACTGGAGTCACGCTAAGATTTCTGTGGTACATTTTTTTATGAAATGAAATGTCCACTCAAAGATTCTATTACTCCAAAACTCTCCATTGTGTTCCCTGAGCTTTTGTGTGACCCTCTAGATTTAAAGTACTCTTATGAGAATAAAGAAGGGAATCATATTCATAATCATAATCTCCCCAATCACCATGGCAGAGCTCATTACCAGACCTTTCTGTGTTCCTCACAGTGTCTCCCTCAGCCTCCGTCTAAATGCTAATCTCCCTGACATTGTTTGCTGCCATGTAATCTTTATAATGGCTTTTTAATTTGCCGTGGAGCAGCAGCTCTTTAAAAGACCAAAAAATTGCTTTCCTCCCTCTGTACTGCCCCTTCACCTACCTCCTGCCCTTTCCTCTCCCAAAGCCTGTCTTCTCAAGCAGCTAACCTTGGTGTCTTTCCCCTCGGACTAGCTATTGCTCTTGGACTCTATCAGCTCCGATGCTCCGTAATGGCGTATCGATTCTGACCCATGACCCCGTGAGCTCGACTGCTGGAGCAAAATCGAGAACTCCAAAGTCTCTTTCTTCTCTGCGTGACAGCACTGGGTTAAAACGACACTGACGACTTGTTGTGCAAACTTGAACCTTTCTTTCCCCCCAGGGACCAGCAAATTGACTCGGCTTCATGGCAGTCCAGTGGTGAGAGCACCAGCCAGACAGCGGTTGAGCTATCAGCAGTAAACCGATTGCTGGCGCTTCGGATTATCATGAGAAGCGCTGCATGCCTTTGAATCCTAAAGCTCGGCCTGGAACCCATTAGCAGCCCGTGAAATAGGCTGACAACAAAAAAAGAGAAAAAAAAGGCAGTCTGATTGATCCTGGTATCCAACACTGAAGCAAACACCAGCTCTGATGAAGAATAAGGCAGAGAGGTGCACACCTTGCAGGAAGGTTGGTTTTTAATTTGGCATTAAAAGTCCAAATGTTTGCTGAAAATACAAGTTGGAAATATGAAGAGACACTAGGGTAAGAAAGATTTTAAAAATAACCTTGGAAACTGGTGAGATGAAGTTTAATGAGTGTGTTTTGCTTGTAAGAGGTCTGAGTATTTTCTATCCAACTTTATTTTACCACACATTGTGGAAAAAGAAAAGAAATCTCGTTACGGCTTGTTGTTACAGCAACTGTAATAAATTCAAATGATTTTTTTTTTCCAAGGGTGAAACAACATCCCAGCCTTTTGCACCGCTGCATTCATTGCATACATTACAAAGTATGCCCTCATTTGGTTCTCTAAGTTCAAGAAGTTTTTCAGTAATAATGACAGATCTTTAACGCTTCATTCAGCCAGGAGGGGAAAAAAAGAAAGAAAGGAGCCGGTTATATTCTGATTGCTGAGTAGCTGTTGAATATGGCATTTAGGCTACAAGCTTAATCAACCCAGTAAGGACAATCAGGAAAAGAGTCTTACTGTGAGCGAACCGAGGCGGGTTGTCATTGACATCTGTGAGCGTGACCGTTACAGAGGTGGTGCCGGAGAGGCCACCCATTTGGCCAACCATGTCTTTGGCCTGGATGACGAGAACATATTGATCCCTCGTCTCCCGGTCCATGTTTGGCAGAGCTGTTCTGATGACACCTGATGAAAGAACCAGAGAGGACGTTTCCAAGTTTGTATATATAACCCTTTGTCTCATTTTCACCAGAACTGCCTGTCAAGTTTGAGGGAAAAAAAAACTCAGTTTAAGCTGAAGGGTTTCAAATATTTAGACAATATAGTACTTAGCTATGTTATAGTTATGTATACTTTGTGAGGGAAATGGGATAAAGGTGGAGTGCTTTATTGAAACATGCAAACATAAATGGAATACAACATATGAGGCAAAAAACAGAGTTTGGATCATCTTTGGATGTCGCCCTTTTGTTCTGTTCTTGGTCAAGATGATCCCACACCGCTTCAATAGTGTTGAGGTCCGGGGAGGCCAATCCATGACTGATTTTACTGCATTGGCAATGTCTTTGGGTTGGGATCGTTGTCATGCTGAAATATGAAGCTGTTGCCAATCCAGATGGTATTGCATGGTGGATCAAAATTTGACGGTACTTCCATGTTCATCATTCCATCAATTTTGATCGGATCTCTGACCCAACTGGCTGAAATGTAGCCACAGACCCTAACAGACCCTCCACCCTCCTTTTACAGATGGCTGTAGACACTCATTGTTGTACCTCTTTCTTGACCTCATCCATACATATTGCTAATGATTTAACTAGAAATTTCAAATTTGGATTCATCACTCCAAATGACCTGTTGACACAGATTTTGAGTCCAGTTCTTGTGTGATTTTGGCATACCTCAGCCTTTTCTTCTTGTTTCACTTTCTTAAGGATGGCTTCTTAGAGGCCACCCTTCCTCTCAGACCATTTCTGATGAGGTTTCAGAGAAGGACAGTATGTATGTGTCAGGTCTTTGTTGTATTTTTCCTAATTCATAGAGACATAAATTTAAGATACAGTCTATGTGCTGTAAATGTTTTTTTAGGCGTGCCACTCTTTCCTTTGTCCTTGTCTATTTTCCTCAAACAAGGGCACAGCATGCTGAGATATGCCAAGTTTTCAGCTAATAGCCGTTTAGGAATTACCTTGATGGGGAAAAATCCTATTTTATTCCTGTCAAACTGTGTTATCTTTGCCATTTTTCATAGATTCAACTAAATAAATAAGAACAATTTATGTGTTTTGTGACAGGCTGCTAGTAACAAAGTGCCTAAAGATACAATTTAAAATTGGCTCTTTGCTAAGTTACTGTTATGTTTAGACACAACACTGATTTATCCCTTGAGCTAGATGACTTTTTTGTGCTCGAATGATTCATAGGTTTGTGTTAAGTGGTTTAACAAACAAAAACCTTGTGTTTTTTGGCATACTGAACTGAAAATGAGTGAAAAAGCAGCCAATTTCCAAAAATTAACTTTGAAAGACCTTCAGAAAACCTGTAGAACTGTTGTTCAAGACTGCTTTGAAATTACAAGAAAGTCTGGCTTTTCAGCTTACGACACTGTCATCCACCTACAATGCAGTTTTGAGAAGTGCCTCAAGTGTCTCGACCTTCAGTCATATCTTGAGTGAGGTGACCTCAATAGGTCACATGACAAGGTGAGACAAGATCTTGGTGGTTTCACCCGAAACCTTTGGTTGTAATTATCCATGCCTTTTTCCACACTTTGACTCATGCAACGAGGGACATGGTTAATAGTAGGTTAACAATCCTCTTATCAAACAGACCCCACCTGGGTTTAAATATCTGGGACTCTTCATCATTTGGTTTTAGAACTGAAGAAGC